AAATACATATAACAACACTATCAACAGGTACTTCGGCTGAGTATTAAAATTATTTGAGCTTTTTTATGTCATTATTTTATTTTTTAGGTTAAAAACTTTAAGTGATGTTACTTTTTGTTGTAAATAAGATACATAATTTTTGTTTAAAATTTGCGTGCAGACAGCTTATAATACTTTAATGTGCATGCGAACTAGTATTAAATCCAACGAATCCTATAGAATAACGTAAAATTAAAGCTTTGATGTAAACAAACAAATCAATAAGAAAATTGTTGTGTGTTAATTTTGTTTTGAGAATATGATTTGTAGTAAAACTTGATTTATTCTGTGTTAGTTTTATTCGGAGAATATGAATTGTAGAGCATAATAAATTGAATTGTACAATTTTTTTGCACTTATAGCATCACAGTTATAAAAATTATCAACGGTGCTACTTTTTCGCACCCGCCTGCAATTAGTTTGCATGTCGTTCCAGTAGTTCCTCACACCAGCAACAAGCATTTAGTTGATTGACCCAGCAAAAGTTAACAAAATTCGTAAAGAATTGCCCTTCCTTGCTTGGCAACAACAACAACATAAGCGAATTGTTTACATGCGCTAGCAATGAGTAGCCAAACAATTCAACATGCGCGCTGGCTGATGCGTTGACTTTGAAATTTTTTGCATTCTTGTCATAGTGCCAAAGCCACTAACTACAACTGATTTGCACAAACAATTGATTTCTTCAATTATTAACGTCGGACTATTATAATTATTTATTTACAATGCATGTCAATATAGTTTTTTGTTTCACAGAAGTACAACTAAAATGGCCGTTGCCCGCAATTGAGGCCAAGCTTACTAAATACAATTCCCATTTGTAGGCACTGAATATGTTTGTTTGTATGCAAGTTGGTGGCCTAAGCTGCTGCCATAATTATCCAGCGCAAATAAATGACATTTAATTGTTCAAATGTGTGCGTGTTAATGTTTTTGTTTACAATTTCAAGAAATATCCAAATGATATTTGCAAAATTCACAGCTTGGACATTAAAAACAATGCAACAATAATAACTATTGAATTGTCTGCAGCCATACATTTAAATATATTCTTACAACTCAAAGTAATTTTCAATGTAATCATTACACTTGGGTTTATTTTTATTTTTAATTACCCTGTTACTGTTACCAGCGCGCTTCACCCACTATATGTGCGGCAGACGCTTGTCAAATATTTTTAAGCGTTTAATAAACCATTGGTTTTATTTAAATATTTTTTTAAAGCGCAATTAAACGTGTTTTACACGCATTGCATTCGAAAAGTGTGCTGCGAAAAAAGAGAAATTATGTATTACTCATTTTCTTGCACAGCAGACAGGCTTTTACCTGCGCTGCTTTGCTTATTTGTTTTTATTTTTTATTTTTGCTGTCTGCAGGGCTTAATTGCTGCTTCTCGAAGCATGCCGTAAGTGTGGCACACATTTCTTAAGTGGCCAAAACGAGTTTTCACAACAAAATTTAATGTTTTGATTACTAAAGGCAAGTTTTTCGTTTTTGCTTTGATTATTAAAGCAGTTTTTGCTTTTCTTCTCAATTTCATTTTCTTTTATTTTATTATTTTTTATTTTTGTTTATATTTTGAATTGCATTGTTTTCTTCGTGTGTTGCTGCCTGCGAAAATTACACACAATTCTTGCGCGCATTTAATTAATTATTTTCTGACAGTTATGCTTATTTATTTCATTATAATTTTTGCGCCGATTTTTGCGCTAAGAATTAAGCGCAGCATTTGCAAATTGAGATTACAAGCTTATTGCACAAATTGCTTTAGCGAATTCATGAAAATATTGTGCATGGTGTGTTTTAAAAATCGATAATTTTTGCAGGAGGAAAATATTCGTTTTAGAAGAAAGCTTGCTTACCATGAATAATTTAAAGAAATTTGCAATTTTTAAGTGATAAATTGTTGTAGTTTTAATAATATATGTTTATATGATATTGTAGAGTGCTTCAAAAAAATTAGGTAAAATAAATTTGCGCGTTTATTCTTTTTTTTATGTATTGATAATTTTTGTACGAGTAAAATATTCGTTTAAGCGTTAAAGTATTGTTAGCGAAAGCAATTTTTAAAATGTCTGCGAATTCAAACAAAAAAAAAAAAAATACGTAATTTCATCTATCTTCAAAAGGTTCAAAATTGTATAAAAATTCAAAACTCAATCATTTTTGTTAATATACAAAAAGTCTCCAAATTTTAAAAAGTTAAAATTGTTTTCAAATTTCAAAATGTATTGTAATAATTTTTGATATTATACAAAATTTCATCAAAATTCGAAATTAAGAAATCTGCAAACTTTATAAAGTTTTTAAAATCTCTCCAAATTTCAAAAACTTACGAAATTTCTCAAAATTTCGAAACTTTTCCAAACTTCATAAATTCTGGTAAAAGCAAAAAATTTCTCAAAAAGTCTCCAAATTTCAAAAAATTAAAAAATTTCTCCAAATTTCAAAACTTCTCCAAATTTAATAATTTCTGATATAAAGAAAGTCTTAAAATCTCTCCAAATTTAAAATTTTTGATAATTTACTAAAAGTCTCCAAATTTCAAAAAGTTCAAAATTTTTACAAATTTGAAATTGTAATAATTTTTGATAATACGTAAAATGATTTATAGCTGACGACAGAGCGCCACATTTGACATTCAAACACTTAAAAGCTTTAACAAATCAATATTAGGCTTTAGCAAACCTGTCAAAAATGTAAATAAGTGCCGTATGATGTATTTTTAAACTTATTGCGAATTAACATGTAATTTTTTTATATCGTTAATGCTCCTATTTTTTTAATGTCGCAGGTTTAGATTTTAATTTAAGTTTTTTTAACGATTTACATTTTTTCATTACAATAATGCACTTAAAAATCTATACATAATAATGTATGTATAGTATTTCACAATTATTGCCTCTGGAATAAAATTAATTTTAGTAACATTAAATTGCAATGAAACATCATTTAATTATTATTATTGGTATTCTTAACTGAAATAATAATTTATCGATAACACTTTTGTTTACATTTATTGCAGCCATTTACATGCAGACACCATATAACACCGTGTCACACATGATGTGCGTGCGAACGCGTGGTAAATGAAAACAATAACATCGAATAACGTAAATTTAAAGCGTTGATGTAAACAAACAAGGGAATAATAAGCTTTTTAAAAATAAGTGAATTTTGATTAATTTTGAGTTAATGTTGTGTTGTGTGTGTGATTTAAAGTGTTAAAAAAAGTTTAGAATAGTGTAATGAGAATAGTGTAAAAAAATCATAGTGAAAATTTGTGAAAATTGTGCAATCAAGTCATAGTGAAAATTTGTGAGACACGTGTGCGAAAGCAGCTGGGAAATTGGCTTAAATATTCAGCGCTAACTGCGGTATTTCAGTGCGCAAACGACTTACATATTTTGTGGACCTATGGAATGAAATTGAAATGCTCAAATAGCAAAAGAGCAGTTAATTCGTGTTGGTGCAGCGTAATTTAGAGCGCATATTATTTTGTGCAACATAACCTTAATGCAGTGAACTAGCAGTTGAGTTAGCGCACTTTGTACGCATTAGCGGTACATTTGTAATGATAAACTAGGATTGCGGGCAATGCTTAAAGTTTGCTCGAAACTTTTTACAAAAAGACTGGGGTTTACTTTTTTGCTGGTTATGTGAGTATTGCTTTTAAAACTTCTTTTTTATGCTTTTTTTATACATAAATATTTTTTATGTGAGTATTGCCTTTAAAACTTCTTTGCTATGCTTTATTTATACATAAATATTTTATTTTTTAATTTATATCACATTTTTCTATTTTTTTTTTATTAAAACAAAATTTTAGCATATTTTTATCTATAATAGTTTTTGTTTTTCTATTGTGCTTTAAAACTTCGCCCATTTTTGAAGCAAATTTTTATTTTTTGAATGCATATTTTTGTCATCCCATACAAATATTCATCACACARCTTTTCAATTACTTATTTATTTATTACTATTTTTTACCTTTCGCCATTTGTAATAGAAAGAGCGACTTCAATTATATCATAATATTAAATTACTGCCAAGTAATTTGAGTAGCTTTAATTAGTTCACTTTTTTCGCAAGACTTTTGCACAATTTTTTCACTCTGCGGTAAAGTATTTTGTGGCTTTATTGATAAAGAAAAAAATTATTTAAAAATACATTTTAATTGTATTTACTGCGTTTTTGTCTTTTTGTCACTTTTTTTCACATTTTTTTTGTCACTTTTTTTCACATTTATTGTTTACACACTTTGCGGTTAACCGTGGCGTATACTTCTTCTATTCACTGCTCTGGCGGTGTCAATAACGCGCGGCGCAACACACAAGCCACCTTTGTCAATTTACACCGGCTAATGAGCGAATATTGTATACTTTACGCGGTATTTGTAGTGCGCGTAGTTGTTGGCGGTTAAGCGTTTCACAAGCAAATAAGAGTGTTGTCTAGTTTTATCGACGTTTATAAGCAGTAAATGTTGCGGCGCTGCCAATACAAACATACATACTGTGTATGCAAGGGTATTGGAGCGCCAATATTGTGGGTAAAACAGAGAAATAATAAATAAATTTCATATGAGCAGCATAACAGAGAACCGGTACCATGGCAACAGCTACATATGTAATTATGCGGTAGTGCAACAACAATAATAGTGTAGCGAAAAAATTAAATTGTAGTGACTTTGTAAAACGTTGTAAGGAAATGTGACTTAGCGGCTGTTGCATGCGCGCTCATACAAACGCGCTCTCAGCACGCCACGTGCTCTCCACTTTTTAATACTGAGAAGTCCAAACTTGTTGCTCAGCTTAGTGGCGCTTTTTGGTATTTTCCAAGTATCGTTTCATTTTCTGGCTAAAAAGACAGACCTTTTAAACAACGCCGCCACATCTCCGCGTTGCGTTGCGCCCACTACTACGGTGTGAACTTGCCTACCAGCTGTGCAATTAAGCAGCGTCGCACGGTTTTCATACTTAAACGCTTTGATTTACTTATTGTGATCGATTTTAGTGTCATTAGCGCGCATTTAATAGCGGCTTAATTTCGTTTTTATTAGTTTTATTTTTGTAAGAAATATAAATAATATAAAACAGCTTTTTAAACTTTAAGCGCTTAAATTGTTTACTTTGCGCTTTTTATTTCAATTTTTCTTACATAATTTTTTTTTATTTTTTGTATGTATTTCTCTGTATAACTAGCTCTCAGTTTTGAGATTAGGCGTTATTTCTAGTTGTTGTTTTTCACGCTCAAGTTAAGCTGCTTAAATTTGAGCTATATTCTGCACTTGCGGTTTACCACATTAATTACTTTTGAGTGCCAAAAAAAAGCAAAGAGGCGTTACTCTGAAATATGTTTGAGTTTATCATCGTTTTAGCTGAGCTTTAGGGCCCACTAAATTAGCGCAAGTTTCTCAGAAAACCCATTAGACATTTTTTATCTTACTCTTTGTAGCTTCGCTGAGATAACTTTCATTATAGATACGTTTTTTTTTAATGCTCTGAGTCCATTTCTTCTATGAAAAGATTTTATGATCGAAATCAATAACGAAAAGGTGTGGCTCGCCTATATGTATGCTTTTAAAAATAACCTGCTTTAGTATTTCTATATAATTTTACAGCAAAGATTATAGAAGACACGTTAGTTTTTCAAAACCATATTTTTTAAACCATTTGAGAAGTGTTAATATGCCTTGCTGTTCAAAAGAAATTACGGAAAAGTTTAGTTCGCTTGAAAGTATGCTTTAAATAACAACTTATATTTCTATTTTTGTGTAATTCAAAGATAAATATTATAAGAGATGGGTCGCTTTTGCAAAATTATATTTTTTATAAACTATTTGAGAAATATGGTTAATCAGCGCCGTGAACTAAATAATGAAAAAGTGTAGTTTGCCTGAAAGTATGCTTCCAATAAGATATTTTCATATTTATGTATGATCTTAGAGTAAGGATTAAGAATGTTATAATTTCAAAATTATATTTTTTATAAACCTTGCTGATTGAAAGAAATAACAAGAAAATGATGGGCGCCCAAAAGTATGCTTTAAATAACATAGTGCTTTGATATTTCTGTATAATCTCACTAATTTATATATTTATAAACCATTTTAGAAGTGTAGATAGCCAGCTGATCGAAGAAATAGTAAAACAAATATTTTCTAAATCATTTGAGAAGCGTAGTTAATCAGCATAATGAAAAAAAATTAATATGAAATATTGCTTCTTTCGCCTAAGTGTATACTTTACAGCCGTAACTAAGAAAATTTTGCATCAAAATGGCTGGCTACACTAAAGTTTTGAGTATGTACTTAAAAACAAAATCTTAAATAAATATCTATTTTATAAAATAGTATGCTTTTATAAACTCTCCAACTTAATCAGTGTTATATTTCTATGAAAAGCGCTACCGAATTCTACCGGACCAACCGTAGCGCTTCTAGCTGCCCCAACTACCGTCGCTTGCTTCAAATTGAGCTACTGTTCTCTTAGCAATTCCCATCTTTTAATGCGATCTTCGCACTCTTTGCTTCCCCCACATCTTAGGTAAATCAACCTCAGCAATTGAACTTTGCTTGCGAGCATGCAATTAATGTTTGTTTTGTGTCTGACGCGTCGCGCTGTTTTAATGAGTTAAATAATGCTAAAAATGTACTTTACATTTTCTAATTACATCACAACAACAACAACACTTTTTTTTAGAAAGAATTTACTAAGCCAACAACTGCTAATAAAGCATATCGTTGTTTTGTTGTTATGTGCTATTGTCGCTATTGTTGTTGCTGTCATTGAGCCGTTTTCGTTATGTACAATTCAATTGCGCCGGCGTGTTGGGAAAATACGCGCATTTTTGTCAGTCATAATTAGCGTTAAATGCTCAATATGTGTGTTATGAGGTGAGCAAAAGTGAGCAGATTTAGAAGAAAAAATAAATAAAAAGAATAAATATTTTTTTCAAAATTAGAAGAAAAAATAAATAA